GGGGGTGATGACTAGGGGGGGGTGGATCTCATGGCGTGGGCCATGATATTTCCCCAGATTTCATGGCGCCTCTTCTTATTTCATTACGTCCCTGGCCCCCCCGCTGGGCCGCGCACATGCCGCCGGTCATGATTTGCACCCCCCCTCTTGGACACCCCCCTCTTGGCCGCTCCCGAGTACGTGCTAGCGTCGGCGTCACCCCAACACGCTAATGCTATATGACTATATGTGTGGCATCCCCCCAGGGGGAGGCGAGAAGTCTTTTAAAGTATATGCGTCGTGGCGGGCGCTTTCTGGCCACGCCGCTCGGGAAACGATCTACTACACGGTGGGTACACTACATGTTCGGGTCGGACGCACGCCTCCAAGGAGGACATATAGTATTAGCATGTCTCTGTGCGTCCCATAACGGACCCCAGGCCCTAACTTGCATTGCTCTCCTTGCCTCGCCGACTCCGCCCGCTTCGTCACATTTTGTTTTCTGGTGGAGACGTCTGGGAGCGTGTCATGCGGCTCCCAATGATTCGAACGGACGTGCAGTGCCTCCGGGCTGCTGGCCTTCGACATGCCGATGGCGTTCGCGTGCTAGGCGTCGTGTAAACATCTGTGTATAAGAGAACTTTCTAGAGTGCCTCGCTCGCTCGCAGCGTCCAGGACCGACGAACATCGAAGGTGGTACCGAATGTCCCAGCGTGCCTGGTGAGCATACAATCTTGCAGGCGAGATGTGATGCAGGCTTCTCCACTCTCGCCTGTTGCGACTGCTTTGCTGTGGAGGAGCCTCGGCAGTCCATGCGGGCCCCGATCATAGATGCCGTCTTCTTCATGGGCGATTCGCTCGGCCAGGGAGCTATCGGCTTCCAGGACACGGGCTGGGTGACCGTGAATTGCTCGGCGGCCGCACAGTCTAGATTGGCAGGGATCCTCCTCCCGTCCTCGGCTTGGATTTTGTGTCGCTGCGTTCGTTCGTCTGTCATCGCCGTCTGTCGTCGCCGTCCGTCTTCGTCGTCGTCGTCGTCATCGTCGTCGTCGTCGTCGTCGCCGTCCGCCGTCCGCCGTCCGTCGTCCGTCGTCGTCGTCGTCGTCGTCGTCGTCGTCGTCGTCGTCGTCGTCGTCGTCCGTCGTTGTCGTCGTCGTCGTCGTCGTCGTCGTCGTCGTCGTCGTCGTCGTCCGTCGTCCGACGTCCGTCGTCCGTCGTCCGTCGTCCGTCGTCCGTCGTCCGTCGTCCGTCGTCCGTCGTCGTCGTCGTCGTCGTCGTCGTCGTCGTCGTCGTCGTCGTCGTCGTCGTGTCGTTTGCCGTCCTCGCAGGCGTCGTCTGTGGCTGCCGCTCTCTTCTCTGCCAAGGGCCCCGCGCCCTTGCGCGGGCGCGCTCGCGCGCGCGAGAGGCCGGCCCAGCACACCCAGAATCCTCGCCCTCCCTGAGTTCCGACGTCGCCAACAGAGTTGCAGCATCGCAGCAACATCTCAACCGGAGTCCTGGACCCCACATCTCACCACCTACCAGACCACCCCAACCCAACCCGAAGGCCCAAATTTGCCCTCCATTTCCAGTGGGGGGGGTCGGGGAACGTTGAGAAAACACATATGAAGCCCGTACCCCCCCCAACCCGAAAGTCGGGTCTTCGGGTTGGGTTGGGGTGGTCTGGTAGGTAGTCAACATCTCTCTGCGCCATTTTTTGAGCCGGATCGATCTGTGGGGGTCCCGGGGCCAGAAGTTCGGCGGCGAGCGAGGGGGGGAAGCGAGAAGGAGAAGGCCTTCTCAGAAGGCGCCGGGGCTCCTCAGAAGCCCTCGCGCCTTCGGAGAAGTTTTCTTTTTGTCTTCAGCGAAGGCGTGGAGAACTGCTCAGAAGGCCCCGGTAAACTTCCGAGCCTTCTGAGCAGCCCCGCCCCTTCCCACTTCCCCCCCTCGCTCGCCGCCCAAGAAGTGGAGCGAGATCGCTGGGCGTGAGAGCACTCGCAGCGCCAGGGCCTCAGGGCCAGGTCTTTTTTCGGCCCCTGCCGCGCCGCCTGTGGCCCAGAGCCGGCCGATGCCGAGCGATCTGCGCTGTCGGAGAGCCGCGATCGTCCGAGATTGAGCGATCCTCTCGACGCCAGAAACTAACGCCCGCGGCCTCGCGACGCAGCCCAGCCGTAGCGGGGGGTAGTGCTGACGGGGGTCAGCCCTTCCCCTCCAACCCCAACCAGGCGATCGCAGACATGGATCGAGGGGGCGTGGATTAGCGACGTGTCCCGTTTCCATGGGAAATCGCGAGTTCCCGCCGCCGAACGAGGCGGCACCGGCCGCCTTTGGGGGAGGGCACCTCCCCCGACGATATATGGACCTGGCGACCGCGCGCCAAATCCACGGATCGCCAATCCCTGCTTGCGCGCCCCCGAAATCCCCTCCAGGATCCTCTGGCCGACCCGGGCCTGGCATCGCAGACCCAGAGGTTGACACCAACACCAAGATCAGAAGTGTGCCTCAAACGAGGGAAGACGATCCAGATCTCGGTGAGGGTGGTAATATTCTGGCTTCCCAGGTGACCAAACTATTACCACCAGCACCGAAATCTAGGATCATCTTCCCCTGTGGAGGCAAACCCCTGTGCTGGTGTTGGTGCCAATTTCCAGGCCTCCAAAGGGGAGGAGGAGGAGGAGGAGGAGGAGGAGGAGGAGGAGGAGGAGGAGGAGGAGAAGGAGGAGGAGGCACAGGCCCTCACCACAGCCCCTCACCGCAGGCATGCCGTGTTGGTGTTGGTGCTCCTTTCCAGGCTCCCAGTGGCAGCCACCCAGGGCGGGCCCCGCTCCGCGACGTCCCCGCGGACCCCGGCTTTGGGAGCTGCCCTCCGTGGCCGGCCGCGGGGTCCGCGCGGCGGGGCCCTGGCCCGTTCGGCCGATCGGGGCCTGCGCGGGCCCCCGGGGTCGACTGCACGTGCAAGAGGGACCCTTCGCCAGAGGAGGAGGAGTGAGGAGTGAGGAGTGAGGAGTGAGGAGTGAGGAGTGAGGAGTGAGGAGTGAGGAGTGAGTCGTGAGGAGTTAGGAGGTGGGAGTGAGGAGTGAGGAGTGAGGAGTGAGGAGTGAGGAAGTAGGATGAGGAGTGAGGAGTGAGGAGTGGGGAGTGAGGAGGGAGAGGAGGAGGGGAGGAAGGAGGAGGAGGAGGGAGGAGGGAGGAGGAGTGAGGGAGGAGTGAGGAGGAGGAGGGATGAGGGCGGAGGGAGGAGGAGGGGAGGAGGAGGAAGGAGGAAGGAGGAGGAGTGAGGAGGAAGGAGGAGGAGGAGAGGAGGAGGAGGAGGAGGAGGGAGTAGGAGGAGGAGAGGAGGAGGAGAGGGGAGGAGGAGGAGAGGAGGAGGAGGAGGAGGAGGAGGAGGCGGAGAGGAGAGGAGAGGAGGGAGGAGGAGGAGGAGAGGAGGAGAGGAGGAGGAGGAGGAGGAGGAGGAGTAGGAGGAGGAGGAGGTATTAGGAGGAAGGAGGGGAGGAGGAGGAGGAGGAGGAGGAGAGGAGGAGGAGGAGGAGGAGCAGGAGGAGGAGGAGGAGGAGGAGGAGGAGGAGGAGGAGGAGAAGGAGGAGGCGGAGGAGAGTAGGAGGAGATGAGGAGTGGACCTTTGGTGCTGGCCCATTGGGTTCCTCGCGTGCGCGATGGCCGAACGCAGGCTGCAGTGGCGTCTTGCGCGCTTGTGTTTGCCCCCCCCCCCCCCCCCCCCCACGGCCCCCCCAAAAAGCCGCGCACCAGAGGTCACTCTCACCCACGGTCACGCTTACGTGTAGCCGACCGGGTTATGTAGTTCGGAGGTTGATAGACCTCCTACCCTGACACGTCGATGAGCGAATTGGCCGTTCTCGGTTCGCGAGAGGGCGCCGCGGCCGTCATTTTGGCGGGTCCAGGTCCGCCGGTTTCGGCCCCAGGCCCTTCTCACCTAAGGGGCTGTTCACGAAGGGGAGGCTTGTCCACCGCCGGTATAGTTCGCCCCGAACTCGGCGGAGCGGGCGGTCGGAGGGGGCACCAACTATACACCAACACCGATCCTTGCCCAGGATCACCCTGGGCCCAGGATCGGTGTATATGCCTTCCTGCGCAAGGCAGGAGGGCGTATACACCGATCCCGGGCCCAGGGTGATCCTGGCCAGGATCGGTGTTGGTGTATAGTTGGTGCCTTCCTAGGCGGGGGCCACGGTGCCGATAGCAGTTGGCGTCGGCCACGCGCAGAGGGGGGCAGCGCGGGGGGGGGAGGCTCCTCGCGAGCGCTCCTGCGCCTCGGGCGGCGCGGGCCCCTTTCTTCAGGCGGGAGGCCGGCGCCCTCTCAGGAGCAGCCTCCCTCCGAGCAGCCTTTCCCCCCCCCCCCCCTTCCCCGACAGTCGGGGCGTTGACCTAAGCAACCCTAAATTCGAGGGCAGAAAAAACGCCCCTACCCTGGTTTACGAGGCGCTGTGCGCTGAAACTCCTGTGGGCTGACAGGGTAAACCCTGCGTGATGTGCCGCGTCCTGGCGGCTTCAGGCTGTGGGGGTTCCCAGGAGGTCTACAGACCACGCACTCATAACCCAGGGTAGGGTCGTTTTTCCATACCTCAATAAATAAGGAGCGAGGCCCCTTCTTTCCACCATGTTAAACTTCGATTCCCGATCCAAGACATGAGGACAGCCCGAGGCAGGCTGCGGAACACTTTAAGGAACGCGGAGCCCCTTCCCAACGAAAAGGGTTCCTTCTTCAGGGCCCCGACTGTAGTCCGCGTGGTCTGGAGGGACCTGCGCCAGACCCCCCCTCCGTGGCGCGCGGAGCGCGCCGGGGGCGGCGCTGGAGGCGCCGCCCCTGGCCGCTCCAGCGCAGATCCAGGAAATCCGCGCGGAGCGCCAAAGATTATGCTTATGCTTATCCCCCTCGTGCTCGCCGCCATCGGGAGCGAGAGAAGGACGCACGCGCACACGAAGCCACACTGGCTTCGAACGTGCGCATGGCGCGAGCGCTCGTGGCACGAGGCTGGCCCCGCGGATCCCCCCCAAGCGGAGGGGCTGAGGAGGGAGCGGCTGCGGGGTGCTCTCGGGCCCTCCTCTGGCCCTCCGGCGGACGCCCGCCCTCGTGTTCTCGCGGCTGGGCTCGGGTCGGAAAGGCTGGCCAGGATGCTGAAGGGGACACGGGGGGCCCAGTTTGAGCTGCTATCGGTAGAGCGCGGAGGGAGCTGGGTGGCATTCTGAGAAGGTGTGGGGTTCTTCTTGGGAGCCCTGCCGCCTGCTGAGAAGCCTTCAGAAGAGGCCTCCGAGCCCTTCTAAGGCGCCCCTTGCGTTCGTAGAAGGTCGCCCCCCTCGCCATGCCTCGTGCGCCGCCAAGACAGGAGGGTACTCAGGAATGGACGTCATTGCCGGGTCGGCAGCAACTTGTCAGGGCGAGCATAGCTGCAGCGGGCCTACACAGGTGGGTTGCGGCGACGATGTCGGCGACGACGGGGACGTCCACCACGGTACACATGAGTCTCCTGCCTCGCGGTGTGCTGCGAGTCGCATGATGAATCGGCGGTGAGTGGTAGAAGGTGTCAGACGGTAAAGCCAGCGGCGATGTGCACCTCGCTTGGATCAGAGGACTTCCTCGTCACGTTCTGCTCCTTCTGCGCGCTGTCCAAAGAGGAGGCGCTTGCCTTTTGGATGACAAGCGGCGATTGACAGTGCACCTAGGAGGCGAGGAGCATCGTGAAGCAGACGTCACGGACAGGCGTCGAAGGCAGCAGAGCTGCTGCACGTCACAAGCAGGAGTGGGTCAGGGGCGGCGCGGGCGGTGGGGCGGATCGGGGGCGGCGGAGGTGGGGAGGGGTTGGGGGCGGTGGGGGTTCGATCAGTCAGTCTTCCCCCCTCGCTTCCCTCCTCCGTCTCCTTTGTCTCTCTCACTCCCCTCTCCCTCGATCCCCCCTCCCCTCCTGCGTCCCCTCCTCTCCGGCAGGCAGTTTCAGGTCTGCACCGTGGCACAGAGTTGGGAACCGTCAAATATTTCACAAATACTTCAAAGTCTCAAATTGAAGAGTCGCCACAACACATTTGACAACGCGAGGCTCAAAGGAGGCGATGACAGGGGCCTGTCGTGGGTTCCATATGGACATGTTCTGATTGTCATCAATGATCGATCGAACTCTCATGACGAATCTGTCACCATTTTCACGCCTTTCTTTAATGATGATCTAGCAAAGAAGTCACATTTAATGGGCAACGAGCGGATTGTGTACTGCATAGTGGATTCGTTGTATTGAGTTAGCTCTGGAAATCAAATCAATGCAACACAGATGTGGATAATAATGTACAAGGAAGGAGGTCTCTGGTAGTGGTTGCGCAAAATCAGAGTCATGGCTGACGGACAGATGATGGGGAATTGCACGGGGCAGCAGCTGCAGGTGATGACGACGCCCACATGATATTGATAAAGGGGAAGCAGAGAAGAGGTGGTTCAACAGTCATTGGCAATGTATTATATGAAGCGTCAAAGCTGCGGTCGTGCGACGAGGAAGCAGGCGGCGGCCTCGGTTCGACAGCGCCAATGGGGGCACCAATGTCTGCGGCAGGCGAGCCACCAGTGCATGCATGGGCCGACGATTGCGGCGGCGTTAGTGAGTTCATCAGAGGCTGCTGCACCCGTTGCCGAAGTTGCAGGGGATGCGGTGCCTGTGCCGGCGCTTGCCGCCGCTGCCAACGCCGCATCAGTGCCAGAGCCAGCGGCGCCTGAGCCAGCGCCCGCAGCGGCTGCCGAGGATGCAGCGGCGCCAGTGCCACTGTCAGTCCCTGCCTGCAGCCGCGCCTTCGTGCTTGCTCCATTCATGCGCCATTCTTGCTCCATTCTGTCTCCGTTGGTGTTCCATTCCTGCTCCATTGTTGCTCCGGTCCTGCTTCGTTCTAGCTCCATTCTTACTCCAATTTTTCTGCATTCTTGCTCCAACACTTTCCATGCCTTGCTCTAGCTTGCCTCTGTCCTGGAAGACTGGTGCAGCGCTGCCTCCCTGAACAACGCATGTGTTACATCGTTGCTCATTTTTATTTTCGTTTTCAAGTCGTCTGTATGTAGATGTATATTTATGTACACGCATCCAATTGTTTATTTCTTCGAGCTTACTTGTGGAGGCTTTTCCTCATTTTAATCCCTGCTCCATTCCTCGGGCTGCAATGCCCCATTCGTGTTCCAAGCGTGCCCCGCAAGTGTCCCATCCTTGCTCCATGGCTGCTCCGTGCGTGCATTCGTCTTCTATTCTTGTCTGAATCTTGCCCCGTTCTTGCTCAATTCTTGCTTTGTTGTTGCTCCGTTTTCAGTCCATTTTCATTCCAATCCTACTCCATTCATGCTCCATTCTTATTCCGTCCGTGTTCCATTCTTGCTGCGTTCTCCCCTCGGTCTTGCCCCGCTCGTGGAGCTGGGATGGGCATTGCGGCGAAGTAACAGTTTTCCGGTCGGCATGCTCGTGCGCGCTCAAAACTAGCGTGGAATTTGATGGCAACCCTCCTAATTATAGCAGGGTTTCTAATGCGTCGGCGTCGTCGTCGTCGTCGGATTCTTCCCCCCTTTCTTTTTTTCTTTCAGTGCAAAACGGGGTGGGGGGGTGGGATGGGGTCAAGCCAGAGGGCTCCGTCCACTCCCACCCGCCTCCCACAACATAGGAAGCAGGTGCGTCGCGTCCGATGCCTGTCGCTCATCTTATGTCGTGGGCGGCTAGACATTCAGCGCGCGACACGAGCTGCGTCCTATTCCTGCCGCGGCCCTGCCGCGTATTGAGCGACGTCGACGAGACACAAAACCGCGCGCGATGTACGCCGCGCCCCGCTCCGGCCTCTCATGTTGCATCGTCGGCGACAACATGTCCAGCGCGCGAAGTGCGCCGCGTCTCATCCCAGCCACGCGCGGCCCCTGCCGCGCATGGGGGAGGGGGAGGAGGAGGGGGAGGGAGAGAGGGAGGGAGGGAGAGAGGGAGGGAGGGAAAAACTGAGGAGAAAGAGGATGATGCCTCTTGGGAATTCGCGGGGCGTCTTGGGAGCTTTCTGGTATACGCCTGAGGGCCTTTTGGATACTTCTTCCGGGTTGGAGCATCGTCAACGCAAGTAGGTGCTAATCTCACAATCCTTCAAACACTAAATGAAAATCAACACTTGTGTTGCCCTCCCAAGACCTCCTGGGCGTTTCTTTTCGACCTCGTGGGGGCCTCTGGGTCTATTAAGGGCCTCTTGGGAGCCTCTTGGCGCCACTTGGGCCGTCATAGCGGGGCTCTTGGCCCGTGATGCCTTCAGAAGCCGTCTTGCGGGCCTCTCTGGGCCGCACTTGCTTGACTTGTCGCCCGCCCAGCTCCTCAACCCGACGGGCCGCAGGGTCGACGACAAAAAAGTCAATGTTGACGAGCAGGCGTCCCCGCGCGATGTGCGCCGCGTCTCATTCCCGCTGCGCGATTCGCAACGCCGGCGAGGAGGAAGTACATGTTGGCAAGGAAAACGTCGACGTCGCGGTATTTTTTGACAGGTAGGACGGGGGGTCCCGCGTAGGGCCGGCCAGGCGTCCGCGCGCGATGTGCTCCGCGTCCCGTTCCTGCTGCATGTTTTGCAGCGTCGACGACAAAAAAGTCCATGTTGACGAGAGAAAACGTTGACTTGGTTTGGTTTGTTGGGATGAGTACGACGCGCCCGCCCGCTTGGGGTTACTTAAGCGATGTTCATTCCGTCCAATTCCTTTTACACCTTTCGCAGCTCGACGACATGTTGGCGGGAAAGCTGTTGAGTCAGTGCTGTTTTTTTTCGCAGTGAGGACGGTGGGTATGCTATCGGTTGGCTCGGTGGGGATGTGGGGGTGTTTAATCGTAGGAAGTAAAGATGGGGGGTGGGTGCGGTGTGTGTGTGTGTGTGTGTGTGCTTGCGTGCGTGCGTGCGTGCGTGCGTGCGTGCGTGTGTGTGTGTGGGTGTGTGTGTGTGTGTGTGTGTGTTTGTGTGTGTGTGTGTGTGTGTATTGGGGGGGGGGGGGGGGCGGGAGGAAGGGGTGGGGGATTGGAGTTGGTGGGGGGTGGGTGCGCGTGGTGAATGGGGATGATGATGATGGGGGTGACGAGCAACGACAACAGGGGGAGGGAAAGAAGAGGACGAGAGGGGCGACAGTGGTGATGGCGACCGCCGCGAAGAGGTCGAGTAGGAGGACGGGGTATCAGGATGATGGCGACGACTATGATGATGATTATGACGATGCTGATGCTGGTGATGATGGTGATGATGGTAGTGGCGGTGCAGGTTGTGGCGGGGTCGATGGTGCTGATGCGATGGTGACGGTGATGGTGGTGGTGATGGTGGTTGTGGTTGTGACGATGACAACGGTGATGATCATTATGGTGCCAGTGACGGTGATGATGGTGATGATGGTGATCGTGATTGTGATGGTACCGATGACGACGGTGATGATGACGGTGGTGATGGATATGGTGATGATGATGATGCTGATGCAGATGGTGCTGATGGTGACGATGGTGGTGGCGGCGGCAGTGGTCAATGACGACCGTGGTGGTCAAAACAATACATTTTGGATGTTTTCACGCCCGGAGATGCTGCAGCTCCTGTTCATCATAGTGGACAAAGATCGCAATGGCCGCTCGCGCGCGCGCTCTGCTTGCCTCCACGCCCACTCCCTCGTCCCTCCCGTCCTCCTTCATTCTCCTCCTCGCTTCCTTCACGTTCCCTTCTCCTGCTCACCATCACTTCATTTTTCCTCCCCCCGTTCTCGTTCGTATTTCCCTCTTTGATGATTCTTCCCTCGCTCTCTCTGTCTATCTGTGTCAGTCTCTGTCCTTCTCCCTCGTTCTCCTCCTTTCTGCGTGTCTCTGTCCTTCCATGTTTCTCTCTTTCTCCCCTTCTCTCTCTTTCTCTCTTCCTCCCCTCTTTTTGTTTGTTTGTCCCTGTTTTTGTTTTCTTCCTCTCTCTCTCTCTCCATCTTTTCCCTTCCTCTCCCACTTTCCCTCTCTTCCCATGTGTTTCTTGGTAGGATGAGCCCCCGTTGTGGACAGCAGAATGGGGACAATACTGGAGAAGAGATCAGAGAGAATCGTAAAAGGCAACACGAAGTAAACAAGACAGCGGTCCAGCAGCACGCTTCCTCGCCTGGTGCCCTCAAGGGGGCCAGGGGATATAGGTATCCAGAGTATGGGTGGCAGCTTTAGTATCTACTGCATCCCCATCCCATCACCCCGTATACCCATCCCAGATCCACCATCTGTAACCTCCCATCCCCCCACGCCCCCCGCACCCGCATCCTCCCTCCGGGGGCGCCAAGCCCATAGACCATTGTAAATTTCGATCCTCCTCTCACTCCTCCCCCTCCCTCTCCCCCTCCGCATGTTTGTCTCCGTCCCCGTCCCCGCCCCCATCTCTATCCCCGGTCTATCCCCGTCCCCGCTCCCGCCCCCGCCCCCGCCGCAATTCTTGTCCCCATCCCTGCCGTCACCTGCATCCCCATCCCTGTCATCCTCCTCCTCCTTGCCGCCGTCCCCGCGCCCCCGTCCCCGCGTCCGCGTCCGCGTCCTCGCCCTCACCCTCGCCCCCGTCGTCCTCCTCGTCCTCTCCGCCCTAACTAGTCGCCCTCTTCACCACTGTCGCCGCCGCCGCCGCCCTCGCTCCGGCCCTCCGCTCTTCGGCGGGGCGCGCGGCCCGAGGCCGCATCGACAAGCAGGAGCTCCTTGAGTATTTCTCCTACGTCCCGGACGGCGGGGCCGGCACGAAGAGTGCCCCCCCCCCCGGCCCCTCCGCCGCCTCGTGGCGCCTGTTCGCCGCAGAGGAGCGGAGAGCCCGCCAGGGGAGCCCCAGCCAAGGGTAGAGCACAAGGAAGCATCGAGCGACAGGTTTGGCCTGATGGGGATGGGGGCTGCCGGCGGCGAGGCAGGGACCTGGCCCTGAAGAGAAAGGGAGGAAGTCTCGAGCAGGGGTGCTGCTGTTGCCGGGAGCGGCGCCAGTGCAGAAGAGAACAGGGCGGTGGTCCAGCGTGAAACAACACGAAGTCTCGAGCGGGAGCGCTGGTTCTGTGGGGACGGCGGTTGTCGGCGGCGAGGAGGAACACCGCCTTGAGTAAGATGGGAAGAAGTCTCGAGCAGGAGCCGCGGTTTTGTCGGGACGGGGTCTGTCCGCGGCGAGAAACCGTCTTCAGGAAAAAGGGAGGAAACCTCGAGCGGGAGCGTTGTTCTTGCCGGGGGCGGCGCCAATTCAAAAGAGAGCTGGGCGCCAGTCCAGCGTAAAACGGGAGGACGTCTCGGGCGGGAGCGCTGGTTTTGTTGGGGCGGCGGTTTTCGGTGGCGAGCAAAAGCATTGGCTCTGAGTAAGACAGGAGGATTTCTCGAACGGGAGCGGTGTTCTTGCTGGGGGCGGCGCCGATGAGAGAAAGAGTAACGCGCCAGTCCACGGTAACACGGGAAGAAGTCTCGAGCTGGAGCGTTGGTTTTATTTGGGCGGCGGTTTTCGGCGGCGAGCAAGAGTACCGGCTCTGGGTTCAAAAGGAGGAAGTCTCGAACGGGAGCGTTGTTGTTGTTGTTGTTGTTGTTGTTGTTGTTGTTGTTGTTGTTGTTGTTGTTGTTGTTGTTGTTGTTGTTGTGATGGATGTTGTTTGATGGATGATGATGATGATGATGATGATGCTGGATCTGATGATGATGATGATGTTAGTGGTTGTTGTTGTTGTTGTTGTTGTTGTTGTTGTGTGTTTGTTGTTGCTGATGATGGCTGATGCTGATATATTTTATTTTATTCGTCCGCACAATCGACATCTGGGATGAGTGCTCTGGCCTGAATGGATGGCTGGAGTCTTGCAAAAAGAAGGCTTCGATGGCTATACCACCGCTTCGAAAAGAATCCCGTCGCACGGAGGGCTGGACTCCGTAACTCGCAAAGCGCGTGCACAGGCAGGTGCTCGAGCGGCGTGGCTGGCTGTGCGGGGTGAGGGGTGGCGGCACTACAATGAAGAGGGATTCAAGCGCAGACTCCGTGACAGCCATCACGGTGCCCGATCTCTGCACACAACTATACGATGAATGGTATCTGTCAGAAGATAACTATAGTCCGAAGTCTGCTGCCGCCGCTTCGTCGGCCGAGAAGTCATGCTCTGGGGCGACCTCAGCTCCTAGACTCGGCGATTCAACCTCCCGATCGCCGTGTGAGTCTGTGGGTGCGGCCGACGGGCGAGCGTATCTAATGCTGATGACTGGTGTCTGGACCGGTGCCGCGCGAGGCGGCGAGCTTGAACGAACAAAGAGGATGGGAAGAGAGAGGTCACGCGCGGCGGGGCCACGCGACAGAGGTAGCACAGGCGCCTTCAGTTCGTGATCATCAGGAGCTCCGTCTACTGAGCGAGCGCGTCGAGCCACGTCGACAGCTCCTCCTCGAGCCAGCCCCAGGCTGATTGCACCGACCGCGCCGACCCCGAGGGCGCGTGGCGCGCCCGTGGCCCCCCCCGCCGCGGTCGACCGCGGCACCGGCTTCGCGGACACCGCGGAGGCCAGACGTGCGCTGCAGCGCGCCTCCCACCGTCTTCTCCTTCCACGTGCTGCACCAGCCGCCAAGCCGAGAGGCACTCGGCGGACCCCGCAGCCTGGGACTGCGCCACCTCACCTACACGAAGCAGGTGCACCGCCGACTGCGTCGGCCCTCCCCTCGCCAGCGGCCGCCGCGCCACAGTTGCCAGGCCAAGGAGCCACAGCAACCCCGACCTGGCGCACAGATGGGAGGGGAAGGAGCTGCAGCAGCCGCTCGCCCGTCCGACAGGCCCGACGTCCAGATGAAGAGCGGCAACGGCGCCCCCCCACGCAGGGCGGCCTGGCGGCTGGGGGGCTCATCGCGCCCCTCATTGAATGGTGGGAACAACGAGTCGCACGGCGCGCCGCCCTACAAGAAGCCCACCCTGGCAGCACCAGCATCGGCATCGGCGGCATCGGCAGCAGCAACACCGCCCCAGGGAGCTGCCGCAGCCCCAGCCCGTCGGCGACGCGGAGGCAAGCGCCACCGCCGCGGGGCCCACACAGAGAAGACGTGGACCAGCAAGGACAAGAACCTGCAGCAGATGATGACAGTCATGGGAAAGCTAGTACTGCAAACCAGCCACCGCGCCCGCCTCGCCCTCGCCACCGCAGTGGACACAGTGACGCTCGCGACGACACACCCGCTGATCGTGGCCATCTCGGACGAGCTCGAGACCTTCAAGCAGGAGGTCCAGACGCTCCGCGAGGGCGACGAGGCGCAGCAGGCAGCGCTCAAGACTCTCGGATCGCCGACTGCCTCTCTCGTCCTGGCAGTAGTCGAGGCCCTGATCGGCTGCGACATCGGCGGCGCGTGCAATGATGATGATGATGATGATGATGATGATGATGATGTTGTTGGGGGGCCAGTTTTGGCGCCCCCCAAACCGCTCGAGCGTGAGCCTCATTTTCGATGAAAATGTAGCCAGCGCCGCGGCGAGAGCGCCAGGACGCCTGAGGGGGTCCAACAATCATCATTGTTTAGTAGTGAACGTTCAACAGCAACAATAACAACACCAACAACAATATCAACAGCATCAGCAGCAGCAGCAGCAGCAACAACAACACACAGACACAAAGGATCGCCGATCCCCAGGAAGATATGGGAGAATAAAGCTGGGAAGTGGGGGAAGTGGAAGGGGAAGGCGAACATCCAGAAGATATGGGCAAATATGGAGAGTCCTGGGATTCGTGCCCTTTCATTGGAGAGGCCTCACGGCCTTACGGTGCCGCCGACCCTGAACGAGCACGACGACGACGATGCTGATGTGGGTCAGACTCCTCAGGGATGCCTTTTGGGGTCTCTTCGGAGCGCTCTCGGTGGCCTCTGGGGGGTAGTTTTGGGGCCTTTTGTGACTAGGGAGCCTGTTGGGAGGCTCCTGGGGGGAAGATAAGGGGACTCGTGCCCCTCTATTTGTGCGCCCCTGGGCCCCTTGATCATCGGATGCGTCTAGAAGCTGCAGGCACGGGGGGGGGGGGGGGGGGCACCTCCGCGGCACGTGGCCCTCGCCCTCACACAGCAGGCCCGGGGCCGGCGCCCTCCGCGCAGGGCAGGAGCGCTCCCGCGGGGACTTCTGGGGAGGCGACCCGGGACGGAAGGCCGTATTGTCATGGCAACCCGCCCCTACAGTGGGCGGCTTGAATAAGGAACACTTACTGTTCAAAAGGGGCTCGGTCGTTCCTGAGGTTTGCATGCGTTATTTGCAGTTCCTCATGCGTTGTTTGTTACTTATCGTTCCTTATGCGTTATCCCTTGGGATAAAAATGGGGCTTCGTTATCGTTCCTTAGGTCAGGCCGATGACTGTATCCTCGAAGAAGACAAACGGCGTAAGCATAATTTTTTGCGCTCCGCGCGGATTTCCTGGACCTGCGCTGCAGCGGCCCGGGGCGGCGCCTCCGGCGCCCCCTCCGTGGCGTGCCCCACGCGCCACGGAGGGGGGGGGTCCGGCGCAGGTCCCCCCCGACCGCGCGGACTACGGTCGGGGCGCCGAAGAAGGAACCCTTTTCGTTGGGGAGGGGCCCTGGGTTTATGCAGAGCCGAAGGGTTTATGCACCGTACCGCTCTGGGGCGGAGCCTGAAGGGAGCCTGCACGGGATGCGTTCGTGGCGGCGCTTCTCCAGGCGCACGGAGGGAGCGCGCGCGGGCAGGGTGGCGCGGGGAGTGCCTGGGAGAGCGCACTGACGGGGTCGCGGCGCAGCTCTGCGCCGCTCCGCGGGGCCTCGGGATTGCCTGGGGCTGGTGGGGACGACGGTGACGGCGGCGATCGCGACCTTTGGAAGTACCGAACATCTCCGAGCACCCTTGATTGTTTCACAGTTTGCCTCAGGTTTTCCTTAGGTTTTCGATGGGAAGTCGAAGCTTAACTTCTGGAGAATAAGGAGCCTCGTTCCTTATTTTGGGTTCCTGAGGTCAACGCCCCGACCGTTTATGGCGTTTCTCTTGTAGTATTTTGATGGCACCCCGCTCCTATCAGCTGAAAATGTAGGTGACTGGCAAAAATCGGCGACCGAAGGACGTGCCCGGAGTTGTGACCGAAAACGTCGTGCGACCGAATTTGCAACCGAAATCGTAAATCGTCTTGGTTTCGCGGTCTCACTCGGGCGCGGTCGGAAAATTTCGGGCGCCAGTTTCGGTCACACTCGGGCAGATTTTCGGGCACGGTACCGGTCACGACGCAGCCCCGATAGAGGCAAGGCCACGTGAGTACTGCAGCATGGCTGATGTGTTGTGCATCTGCTCTGGCCTTGCTTATCCCTCCTCCCGCGAGCTCTATCCCTCTCGGGGGAGCGTAAGACCCGGGTTTGCCAGGACTCGGGTTCGCCATCGTTTTTTGACGACCGCGATTCGGATTTTGACGAGTAAGAGTTTCGTGGGATGTCTGCAGCGGGAGGCCTCGTCAAAGTGCAGGCTCGGCCTCGTCATTTTTTTGACGACCTCGTCGGGGATTTCCGAGTCCCCTGTACCCGGGTCTTACGCCCCCCGGGCCATGAAATCTCCCCAGATTTCATGGCGCCTCTTCTTATTTCATTACGTCCCTGGCCCCCCCGCTGGGCCGCGCACATGCCGCCGGTCATGATTTGCACCCCCCTCTCTTGGACACCCCCCTCTTGGCCGCTCCCGATGTCCCTCCACTTCCCCTCTCCACTCCCCGATTACCTCGTGCCCGGTGGCCTCAAGAGGCCCCCCAGAGGCCCATCCAGAGGCTCCCCGGGAGACGTTCCAAGAGCCTCGGCCCGTGCGCTCCCTCTCTCTTTCCCTCTCCCTCCCTCCCTCCCTCTCCCTCCCCCTGCCTCCATCCCCCTTCCCTCTCCTCCCCCTCCCCCTTCTCCCTCCCCCTTCCCTCTCCTCCCCCTCCCCCCTTCCCCTCTCCTCCCCTCCCCCTTCCCCCCCCCCTCCTCCCTCTCCCTCCCTCCCTCTCCCTCACCCTCCCCCTCCCTCTCCCTCCCCCTCCCTCCGCATCTCTCCCTCCATCCCCCCCTTGCCCCCCCCCCACCGGCGGGCAGACCAGCTGGCCAGAGCACAAAGAGCTTGCAGCGACGAGGGCGACGGCGGCAGCGACGGCGGCGGCGATGATGGCGACGGCAACGGGCAGCGGCGGCGACGGCGACGGCGCTGGCGGTGGCGACGGCGACGGCCATCGGCGAGCGCGCGCGGTGACGGCGACGGCGGCTAGCGCAGAGCGGGCACGAGGTGCCCCGATCTTCCCCGTGAACAACAAGAACGCCCTCGACAGATTCCGCGGAGGGAAGTGGACAAGCCCGACCCCCCGCCCTCGTGTCGGAGGGGATGGAGTAACGAGTCAGGGGCAACGATAGGGTTAAGTCGGGCCTGTCCCTCTACAGGGGGAATATTCAAAGATAGGGAAAAATTGTATGGGGACGATCTTTGGACTATTTCTGAGCATGTTTGGAGCATTTTTGGGGTATTTTTAAGTTTTCGCCCCAAATCCCCCGGTAGGGAGAGAGGCTCGACTTGACGATAGAGGGGATAGGTTCGGGGGGGAGCGCACCGACCCCCCAATCGCCCAATCCGTCGCCGATGGTGGCCTGGTGGCCAAGGCGGCCCAGGAACGTGAGGTTTCACAGAGTCCACAGCCTGTCGCCGCTCTGCAGGCGATGTTGGAGGGTGCGGGGGCGAGACGGAGGTGAAGTTGTCGGAGGTGGGTAGACCTCCTACCCTGACACGTCGATTAGCGAATTGGCCGTTTTCGGTTCGCGAGAGGGCGTCGCGGCCGTCATTTTTGCGGGTCCAGGTCCGTCGGTTTCGGTCCGAGGCCGTTTTCACTAAAGGGAGGTTTACTAAAGGGAGGTTTGCCCACCGCCGAAGTTGAGCCCTCACAACGGTGAAATCGGTCTCGGCTACTGTTCGTTCCACGCGTGACGTGCGTACGGGCGAGGCGAAGCTGCGCGAGTTCCTGCATTGCATAGCTTCGACCAAAAACCAAACGACATCACCCCACCTACGACTCGCTGGGTCGTAGGTGGGTTGTAGGTGGGGTGATGTGGAGGGTGGGTCATAGGTGGTTGTGGGTGGGCAAGTGCCTAAACACTGAATATCGCTGGGTCATGGGTGGTGTGGTGTCGTTTGTTCTCTGGTCCATAGCTGGGGCCAGGTCAGGGCAGACGGGGCCGTCGGCCCGGGTCCGCCCGGGCGTGTCCCGGGGAGGAGGGAGGAGGGAGGAGGGAGGAGGGAGGAGGGAGGAGGGAGGAGGGAGGGAGGAGGAGGGAGGAGGGATGATGGTTGTCCCGTGGCGCGCGCGGGGTTGTTCTGCGGTCGTCCGTGTGGTTGTCTCGTGGTTGTCCAGTGCTTGTCCCGTGCTTGTCCTGTGGTTGTCTTGTGGCCGTCCCGTGGTTTTCCCGCGGTGGTTCCGTGCTTGTCCGCGTCTTGTCTACGTCTTGTGGTTGTCCCGTCTGTATGTATATCTACACAGAGTGAGATCGAGAGGTGAATAGTGATGTCGATAAATCTACTGACTCTGCGACGGGTAGCTAGATAATCGTACCTACAGATCGTGAGACCGATGGAAAGGTCGGCAGTGAGGCCACCAGACACACCTTGTGAGACCGGTAGGTCGTGAGATCGACAGACGTATCGATAGTGGTTACAACGCGATTCGTGGACGCTTGTTTGGAACACGCCCTGGAGATGGCCGAACGGGCCTCCCCCCCCTCCCCCCAAAACATTTGAAGCGCTTGGGGAAATATTAGCTCCCCCTGCCCTCCCCTGGACAACGGCGGGGGGGGCCTCCAAAGGTGGGGGGACCCCCCCCTCCCCCTCATAGAATCAAGTGTAGTGCCCGACCAAGATCTAGTGGAGTCCTACTATAGGTGGATCCAAATTGAATCGCATCCTAGTCGGGCTTGATCCAACTTTAGTAGAGTCCTGTTCTAGATGCTTCGCGTAACCCCACCAGCCCGTCCAGAAACGATGCCCGGTTGAGTTGCCCTGATCAGGGGTGTGGCGGAGCATGCAGTGGAATGAAGGGCGGGGTAAGACGTCATACCCCAAGAGGGGGAGGATGGAGGCGGAATCGGAGGAGGAGGAGGAGGCGGATGAGAAGGGACAGGGGGAGGAGCGAGGAAGAAGGAGGAGGAATCGGCGGATGAGGAAGACGAGGAGGAGGAGGAGGAGGAGGAGGAGGAGGAGGAGGAGGAGGAGGAGGAACAGGAGGAGGAACAGGAGGAGGAAAAGTCTTGGGTGCCACTTGGGGCCTCTTGGGTGCCTCTGGGGAGCCTCTCGGGGCCTCTTGGGGGTCTCTTGGGAGCCTCTAGGGGGCATCTTGGGGGCCTCTTGGGTGCCTCTTCCTCACCTCTCGGTGCCGTCTTGGGTTGTGGAAGACGATCATGGAGAGGAGGCATGCTATCACATCATTTTCGGATGTCTCAAGCTTTTGCACATGTTTTAAGTATGCTCAAAGCATTGCTGAACCCCAGGTTGCCTGCCTGGCCACGCCTGATCGTTTGGGTGTCGTCTTCCTGTCGGCTGGCTGGCTGGTAACTCGGCTGGTTGGCGTGTTTCAAGGTAGATTGTTGGCAGCCGGTCCTGGCTATTTGCTGGCTGGCCAGTCGTGCGTGCCTGTCATCATTCATGAGGCACGGCGGCCGCGGGAGCGCGCACCACTCTTATTTTTCAGTTGCTGAATTCAGAAACCTGTTTTTTCCCAACCATCCTGTGGTGTTGGGTCCTCGTTTTGAAGAGACAGCGCCCCGCGTCCCTCACTCACTCCTCCTCCCACTCCTCCCTCCCCCCCTCCGCGTCAGCCACACCCACTTCGGCACACCCCTCACACGTTTCGTGGCCCCATAAGGAGCTCCACCGAGGGCTCCAGTGGCTGCGTTCGCATGGCGGCACCGCGCCCATTTCGGCACACACCTCACACGTTTCGTGGCCCCATAGGGAGCTCCACCGAGGGCCCCAGTGGCTGCGTCCGCATGGCGGCACCGCACCCATTTCGGCACACCCCTCACACGTTTCGTGGCCCCATAGGGAGCTCCACCGAGGGCCCCAGTGGCTGCGTCCGCATGGCGGCACCGCACCCATTTCGGCACACCCCTCACACGTTTCGTGGCCCCATAGGGAGCTCCACCGAGGGCCCCAGTGGCTGCGTTCGCATGGCGGCACCGCACCAATTTCGGCACACCCCTCACACGTTTCGTGGCCTCATAGGGAGCTCCACCGAGGGCTCCAATGGCTGCGTTCGCATGGCGGCACCGCGCCCATTTCGGCACACCCCTCACAC